ACCAGTTCACATTAAAAAGAGTATAAGATATCTTTTTTGATAAAAACTAATAAATATTTTATTGGAAGCTAAATTTTATTAAGTTAATCAAAAATAAAATTTATAATATTTTAACCCTTAAAAAAATCTATCGATTTTGTGATGTGGGTTGTATATATATTTGACAACTGGCGAGGCATTGGCTACACGACTAAATTGACCACGATGCTCCCGAGCAAAAATGGGAAGAAGCATGAATATAGCGGCTCCACAGCTAGACAGATTAAGCTCCCTTCCTGATACTCTTCTGATCAGCATATTATCTCTTCTGTCACTCGATTATTCCCATACCCATGCCTGTTCCCATACCCGTCGATTTTCACCAAACTCAATCACTTGTCAAACTTTTTTTAAGTGCAAATGTTGATCTTAACTTCCCTAACAAGGATACTCTTCTTGTTAATCTTCCTAATTTGAAGATTCTTCGCATGCATTTATGTGACTCATAACGTCATATTATGGATACTCTCTTTAGGTCTTGCCCACTACTGGAAAATTTATCCTTGATTTTTTATTTAAACCAACATGATCACTTTGTTCATATATCTGCCCTGAATTTGAAGGACTTGCATATAGATATGGATAATAATTCATTGTTGTTATCTTTTCACAGCAACTTTGTGGTTGATGCTCCTAAACTTGAACGATTCAAGGTTGACGGACTTCCAGCGGTTTATGACTTTGTTACAATTCCAACCAATTTACAAGAAGTTACAATTTCCTCGCGCAAAATAGATGAATTTACAATTGATCATGATTTTGTTAACGCGAGACTAGGCCTATTTCGAGGAATTTCTTTTGTTCGCGAAATTTTCTGTTTCGGTGAGTGGGGTATAGTTTGTCTATAAATATTCTTTCTAGTATTGAAGATCTTCCATTCTATCACAATCTGGTTTATCTTCAATTTGATAATTGGAGACCTCGACTACCTCGTTATTGGTGGGCTAATCTGAAAATAATAGAGGTCACAATTGAGATGAAGAAGAAGAATTATGTCGTCCATATGAGTTTTCTTAGCGACATTTTAAGTTCTGCAACTGCTTTGGAGCAGCTTCACGTACGCGTGCGTGTTTCTCGTCCCAACGGTAGATTTAGTCCAAGGCCAGATCAACTACGGAATGAATACCCCTTTTGTAGGGAGCTTTTTATGCATGGAAGGAGTTCGCTGACTTGCAAGATTCAGTTTTTTGGTAAAATGATCACTGCTTCGAGTGACGATTTTAATTATAATAAAGATGAGTTAACATGTAAAACACCCAAATAGTATATACCTCCGTTCTACTAGCAACATTCTAGCTCTTTCGTAGTCATTTGTGCCTGGTTAACGTATTAAGTTTTGTTATTTTATTTTATTTTATTTTTTTCATTATTTTGAAGGGAAGTTAGTTATTGTGAGATTTAATTTAACCATGTAGACTAGCGTTTGAGTTACATTATTTTATTCGAAAAAGAAAACAAAGTTTCTCAAACCTTATCACATTATTAACTTCACATTATTTTAGTCATAATGTTATTTACACTATAAAAATACGCGCATTTATCGGTTTAGTCTTTTTAAAAAAATATTATATCATTCAATTGAAATCTACAACTCTTAAAAAGAGAGAAGTTAACCGCTCCTCTCATTATGAGCAGTAAGGCAAATCAATATCCAATTTTGAACAGTACAACATTTGCTTGTCGGATTTGTCTTTGTCTGTTACATTCGGCCTTTCGCTGAAACATTCTCTTTCTATATATAGGCGGCTTTTTTTTTGTTTTCCCTAGGTTATTTCCATTTTCTATTTCTCTCTTCCAATTTTGTTTTTTCGTTCTTCTATTCCCTCTTTCTATATATAAGTGGCTTCTCTTTCTATATATAAGTGGCTTTTTATTTTAATTTTCTTTTCCAATTTTGTGTTTTCGTTCTTCTATTTCGTTCGCCATTGGAGTTATATACATGTTTGTGTTGTGATTTATTTTTGTTTTGCATTCAGCTGGACTGAATTTGTTTGTCTATTTGTATTTTTCACGGCCTTTGCGTTTGCATTGTTTTTGTTTGTTTTTCATTGGGGTTTATTTCCTTTTTTTTATGTTCTTTCTATTTCCTGTTTCTCTGTATTCCAGTTTCGTGTTTTTGTTTTTCTTTTCTGTCGTCATTGGAGTTACCTTTGTTTACTTTGTTTGGTAAATACTATTTTTTTTTTGGTCTGTGTTGTGATTTAAATCGAATACAAATTAGTTTGGTGTATTGTGTTGTGTTAATTTATATTTGTGTTTTGGCCTTTTAAATCGAATACAAATTAGTTTGGTGTATTGTGTTGTGTTAATTTATATTTGTGTTTTGGCCTTTATTTTTTGTTTTGGTTCTTTTCCGGTTATGTGGAATTATAGGTCTCGATGCTTTTGTTTTGTAGCATGCAATTAAAAATTTAGGTTCTGTGTGTTGTGTTTTTGTTTCAATTCTTTTGCTTAGTTCTAAATTGGTTCTGGTGATGACTTTATTTGTATGTTCTGTTTTTAAATTGTGTGTTTCCATTATGTTTTTTTTTTCCGATGTTGTGGTAAAATTTGTTAATTTTGTTTATTTATAAAAATTAGTTTGGTGTATTATGTTCTGTTCATTTATATTTGTGTTTTGGCCTTTTATTTTTGTTTTGGGTTTTTTTTCGGTTATGTGGAATTGTAGGTCTCGATGCTTTTGTTTTGTTGCATGCAATTAAAAGTTTAGGTTATGTGTGTTGTGTTTTGTTTTCAATTCTTTTGCTTAGTTATGTATTGGTTCTGGTTATGACTTTATTTGTATGTTCTGTTTTTTAATTGTGTGTTTTCATTATGTTTTTTTTTCCGCTGTTGTGGTAAGATTTGTTATTTTGTTTAGTTAATATGTCGTATATTGTTGTTGTTGTTGTTCTGAGTACATGTGCACTGTTGTCTGATAAATTAAAATTGGCAGTTAATTGTATCATATTATAGTTACAGTTGAATATAATTGGAATTAGGTAGATGTATTTTCTGGTAGCGGGTGAAAGGATAAGTTATTTTGGACTGTCATTACTGTGTATAGGGGTTTATATGTTTGGATTTTTTGGATTTTGGGTTAGTTCATAAAATTATAGATTGTGCTTGGAGTGCAGGCTGGTCAGTTATGTTAAAATACCGTGCACATGTACTTAGAACAACAACAACAATATACGATACTTGCAATTTTAAGGTGGATGCTTCTTACAACAATGTATTTCATTTGTATATATTTCATATAAAAGTGAAAGGTGATTGTAAAATCTGGAGTGGGTATTATAATATGGTGGATTTACTTTTATCATAGATGTGGTACTAATTTGTTTATTGATTTATAAAATATAGTTTGTATTTTAAAGAAATGTTGTGTTTTTAATGTGATATGGTCTTAATTGTGTTTTCGTATACGGTTGAGTTTACAATTTACAAATTACTAGGTTTGTTTTGAAAATTATTCCATTTTATGGGTTTTTTTTTTTTAAAAAAAAATATAGGAACCTTTGTGTATTTATTAGTATTTGTTTATAATATATAGAGATGGAGAAAACAGATGAAGTTGAGGTAGCAATTGCGGAATATAAGAGTTTCTATCGAGGTCATAAACGTATCACATAGGTGCTTACTTTAGTCACTTAGGCAATGGAAACGGTAATTGTGTAGAGAAAGACTGAGGTTGATTTGGTGTTGAAAATTGCGGCAAATGGTGTGGAGGAAGCAATTGAATGAGCACCTATTGTTGTGGAGAATCTTGTTAGATTCTTAGATCGGTTGGACCGGGTCACAATCGAAGGTTGTTCACAGTTTATAAGATTAAAGGAATATAAGAAGAAAGAGAGGGACAAATTTGATTTGGTTTCGATGAAATATAACAAGGCAATTCATGATTCATAATGTGTACCTTTGGAAACGTAGGATGTTGTTGTAGATGTTTGATTTGGATAAGTAGTTGATGTTGGTGTTTTGCAACTATGTTTTTGTAGTGGTTTTTGTACATCTACAAATTGTTACCTATATTTACAGATTAAGTTATTTGTTGTACATTTTTTTGTTTCTAATTATGGGTTTGCTTGTTTAATTACATGTTTTTAACCTGTATAGATTGTCGGAGTTTTATCTGATATCATGTTTATACATTCTTTACCATTCTTCTTTACCTGTTGGTACGATTATGCTGAAGCACGAATACAGGAAATACGCGTAAATTTAGAATCTGGTCATTTTTTTTTTGGGCGAAACGTTGTACAGATGGTAAGAAAAATAAAATCTAGAGCTGTTGTTAATCCAGGGCAATTTCCTGAATGTGAGTCGGCTCGATTGCCGACAGAGCAAAGCCGAAATGTAACACCTTGCATTTCAGCGACAGGGATAAATGTTGACTTGGGTGAATCTCCTTTGAAGAACTTATCTATGCTTAAGGGATTAAGGCAGGAACAGAGTACGTGTGATTTGGGCATTGCAAATATTGCAATTTCTTCTTTTGTTTGCAATCAAGATGGAAAAGATCAACCGAATGCTAGTGTTTCTAGCACACCTGGTGAGGATAATGTTGCGTTAGTTATCGAAGAGCAACCAAGAATTGTTACAAATACCGAAAATTTAAATGAAGAGTTTATTCAAACTCATTCGGCAAAATTGCTTCCTGTGCGAATTATGGGACATAAGGGATCTAAAAAAAGGGGTAGGCCTATTGTCGACTTAGGTCAACTTTCGTCCGAGGAGTTATCCATTCAGCCGAAAAAAAAAGAGTTGTGAGAACGAGTGGTTTCGGCAGTGGGGGCATTTCAGTTCCGCTCAATGTTCGTGAGCAAGGGGAAGGAACTAAATATAACGTTGTTCAAATTTCGGGAGACAGTGTTACCGCTAAAGGCCAAATGGAAGTTGATGTGTTGGTCGCATGTTCTAAGGATAATGTTGCGGTAGTTATGGAAGAACAGTAGAAACTTGCTACAGGTGCCGAAAATATGATTGAAAATATTCTGGAAACTCATTTGGCTATATCATTGCCTGTGCAAACTGTGGAACAAAAAGGATCCAGAAAAAGAAAGGTCAGGCCTATTGTCGATCTAGGTGAACTTTCATCAGAAACGGTAATGCTGTTGCCGACAGATTTTCAGCCAGGCAGTCGACCGGTTGGAGGCGGGGGTGGGCGAACCCCAGTTCCTTTCAATGGTCGTAAGGATGGGGAAGAAACTATATGTAATGCTCCTCGAGTTCTGGCAGACATCGTCACAAAAAAAGGCCAAGCGGGTGTTGATGTATTGGTTACGCCTACTGAGGAAAACGTTGTGGTGGTTATGGAAGACAATCCGATAAATGTTCATCACGTGGATAAATATGGTGAAATATTGCGATCAGCACATGGACACCCGTTCGCTAATTATTTTGAAGTGCCTATTCAAGATTGTGAAGAAGTGTAAGTCTTCATGTTTGTCGCCGAAATTATGGATACACTCTGTTCTAGATTTTGATTATAGTATTTATTTATATTTATTGATGTTTTTATTCTTTTATAGAAAAAAATCCAGAAGTAGTTGGAAACCGTGTAGTGCAGGTAATATTGTTTAACATAGTGTGATAGCATTATTTCGGATAACTTAATATTATAAACGTATTCATATGATCTATGATGTACGGAATTTATATCACGTTTTTTTGTTTTGTTTTTCCTATTACGAGCAGAATATATTTCGGCATTGTCGTATTCCGACGCGACATGGCATACTGTACCAGTAGAAGTTTGTGAGGCACTGTAAGTTTTTGATGTTCTACTGCTTTATGTTGTATATTATTTGAAATTAATATATTTTATGGTTTTTTTGTAGATATGAATCCAAAAAATGGAAAAAACGTGATACTATAGGTAATGTTCAGTAATATATTACGATATAATTATTTACGTGATTCGTAAAGTATTGACGCTCACTGCGTGCAGATTTCAAAGTTGACTTCCATATCTATAATTATTTCACTAAGATTATCGTGCTATAACCGAAATAAAAGTGTTGTAAAACTATATAGTAATTTTAAACATTAGATGACTATATACTGTGTAAGGTGTGATTTTCAGTGGAAATAATTGTGTTTTTAATTAAAATAGATTATAAGAAAGAAAATTGTGAAGGATAAAATAGTGATATTTCTGGTTACGGCAATTTTGATTGCTGTATTTAATAGTTTTCCAAGAAGTCGTTTTCACAAAATGTAATCATAAACTATCTTTTTACATTATTATTGGTATCTTTGTTTATTTATTATTATTTTGGTGTATTCAATGTTTGGCGTTATTATATAGAAAACGTTCATTGTGATTGCTAGATAATTTGGGGAGTCTTTCACAAATATGTGAACAACGTAAGAGAAAAAGATCTCTGTTTTTTGCACAATCTTCATCTGCCAAAAAACCCAGTTCAGAAGGTATTGTATCGGTTATCTTTACAGTATAAGAATTAACTATTATATGTGATATATGGAATGAATCTTAATTTATTTTGGTTTTTTTTTCCAAAAACGTATTTTAAATGTTTCGGTAGTGAGACCGTTTGCAACGATAGGTGAAAATCTTCCAGTTGGCCCTCTTGTGCTTGAGAGTGCTCCGTGTTGTTTGTATTGTAATGCAAAGAAATTCATGTATGAAACTCCGAGTTTCTGCTGTTGCGGTGGACAGGTTGTTATTGCAGCTAATCAATTTCCTGATGAGTTATGTCGATTATATTTATCAGAAGAGGAAGATGCTAAACATTTCAGGCAATACAGCCGAATGTATAACAATCTCTTTGCTTTTAGTTCTATACGCGGCAAAACGGAGTCGAAAACATATAAGGGGATATATGTATTTAAAATGCATGGGCAAGTATATCATTGTGTTCCAGATCTTCTGCCTCATGATGGTAGTCCTAAATTTTTGCAGCTCTATTTTTATGATGGCCAACACGAAGTTCAGAATCGAGTAAATTGTTTTCCTGAAGTACGGGAGGATATTATTTGTGTATTAATGAAAATTACTGAAATGAATCCATATGCAAGATTTTTCAGATCGTTGAGGGAAATAGAGATAGATGAAAACACACAGATAGTATTATCTCAAAATACTATTTTGGATCAACGTGTTTATAATGCACCTGTTTCTGATGAAGTTGCTATAGTATGGCCAGATGGTGCGTCTTCGAGTCAAATTAGCACTCCACATATTATTGTGCATGGAAAGTCTGCCCAAACTCATCGGATTTGTCATTATTATGGGTGCTATGATCCATTACAATACCCGTTATTATTCCCTTTTGGTGAATGTGGATGGACTCAGAATCTTAAGAAGCGAAATGTTGGTGGGAAAAATCATACAAAACAGGTTCCAGATCCTATTAATTCTTGTGCAGTTCATACCCTGCAAAATTTCTTAGATGAAGAAGAATCACGTAAGTGTTTGTTACTTATGCATATTAGTTCGTATTCATTTTAAACTATTTATTGTGTTGGGCAATTTAATGTGTTTTTTTATTTATTTTCGGCATAATATAGGGACCGTTAAACACAAGACAAGAGCTAATAAGTATATCTCTCCAAGAGAATACTATGCCTACATATTACAAATGAGGTCTACAAATATGCTCCTTAGAAGTGGAAGATGTTTTCAACAATTTGTTGTGGACATGTATGTGAAGATCGAAAATTCAAGGCTCGATTATTTGCGGAACAATCAAGATATCATTAGAGCTGATCTTTATTAGGGTATTCTTGATAGTGTGACAGGTGGAGAGACAAATGCTTCGAAGATTGGACATCTTGTTGTTTTACCTCCGTCGTTCATTAGGTGTCCTAGAGATCTAAAACGTCGATATCTAAATGCAATGGAATTAGTTCAAAGATATGGGAAACCGGATTTGTTTATTACTATGACATGTAATGAAAATTGGCCCGAAATAAAGTGTGAATTACAACCTGGAGAGAAAGCTCAAGATAGGCCAGATATAGTGGCCCGTATATTTCGTGCAAAATTATTGGCATTAAAAAAACAAACTAAAAAAGAAAGAATTTTTGGTGAAGTGGCAGCAATGATTTATGTTGTTAAGTTTCAAAAAAGGGGATTACCACATGCACATTTTTTAATAATACTGAAACGTGATTTCAAGATAAGAGGGCCATCAGAATATGATAAGTTTGTTTGTGCTGAAATCCCATCATTTGATAATCCTCGTCTTCGTAAATTTGTCTTGACTCATATGATGCATGGGCCTTGCGGGAAGTTGAATCCTAAGTGTCCTTGTATGAAAATGGATGGGAAAAAATTGGTCTGCAAAAATGGATATCCAAAATATTACAATTTAGAAACAGCAAACAACAAAGATGGATATCCTATATATAGGAGAAGACAAACGGGTGAAAAAGTAAAGGTTCGAAGGGCTGAGTTAGATAATCAGTGGGTAGTACCTTATAATCCATATTTATTACTTATGTTTGATTGTCATATAAATGATGAGGCCTGTTCAACTATCAAAGCAGTAAAATATTTATACAAATATGTTTATAAAGGGCATGACCATATATCATTCAAGATATCTGCTACAAATGATTAAAAAAAATTGATGAAATAGAATAATTTCAATCTGGCAGGTTGGTATTGAGTGCTTTATTTTCATACTTAGTTTAAATTTCTTTATACTATAATTACAAATATTACATTTGAATTGTGTGGTTTGAAATTTTAGAAGGGTATCTCCGTGTGAAGGAATATGGCGAATATTTGGTTTTGATTTATATGAAATTTTTCCTCCTGTTATGTCGTTACCAGCGCATCTTCCAAACATGCAATCCATTGCTGTAAGACCATTTGAAAATCTCAGTTGGGTTGTTAGAGATCCTAAGCGCGCACGTACACCTTTGACGGAATACTTTGCAATGAATGCGACAATTGATGGTGGCGTTAACCTTTTATACAATGATTTTTCAAAACACTACACATGGAATTCAAGTGTGAAAGAATGGAAAGACCGAAAAAACGCACTCACTGTTGTTGGTAGGATATCGTTTGTCTTGCCTTCCGAAGGTGAACGTTATTATCTTCGACTATTATTGCTTAATGTACAAAACTCAAATTCGTTTACAGACTTATGTACAGTTGACAATTATGTTTGTGCTACATTTCAAGAGACTGCTAAACGGCTTGGTCTTTTGGAAAATGATGATGCTGCATCCATTTGCCTAACTGAAGCTGCATAGATACAGTTACCATGTGCTTTGAGACGACTGTTTGCAACAATACTGATATTTTGCCAGCCGAGTGATCCAACTTCTTTATGGGAAAAATATTACACATCATTGTCGGAAGATTACAGGTATCAATTTAAAGATTGTCCCGGCAAAGTGAAACAACTAACTGTTAGTTTATTAGAGCAACATCTTGAATCAATGGGTAAATCATTGAAAACATTTGGGTTGGATCATCTGAGCTATAATGTCAGTGACGAATTTAGGAAAACGAGAGATATAGAAAATGCTTTAAATACACCTATTCTAGAAGAATATATAAACTCAAGAGCACGATTGAATGCAGCTCAATTGAAAGCATTTGATGTCATAATGAATCACGTCAATGAGGGAAAAGGAGGTACTTTTCTTATTGATGGACCAGGTGGCACGGGTAAAACATTTTTATACAATTGTTTATATGCAGAAATTCGAATGATGAATAAAATTGTGCTGCCCACTGCGTCATCTGGAATAGCCACATCAAATCTACCTTCAGGCAGAACAGCTCATTCAAGATTTAAAATACATGTTGATCATGAGAGTTGTTTTACATGTGACGTGCCAAAACAAGGTAGTTTAGCACAATTATTAAAGGAGACAACTTTGATTATCTGGGATGAGGCTTTTATGGCGAATAAGGCGAATTTACAAGCACTTGATTTGCTGTTGCAAGATATATGTGAAAATACAACACTTTTTGGTGGTAAGCTTATCATTTTCGGTGGAGATTTTAGGCAAGTTTTACCAGTTGTACCCCAAAAGTCGTTAAGACAGGCTGTTGAATCGAGCATTGTTGCTTCATATATCAGGCCATCTTTGAAAAGATTCAAGTTAATGGAAAATCAGCGAGCTCGTGAAGATCCAACATTTTGTGCGTTTTTGTTGTCTCTTGGTAATGGTGAATTACAAACAAATGAGTATGGATATGTAGAACTTCCTGATGGAATGATACATCATTTGGAGATTGAAAAGGACCCCATTTTGGAGATTATAAAAGCTACTTTGCCAGAAGTTGAGAAAGGAACGATTACATCAGATATCTTTGCAGATAGAGGAATTTTAACTCCGATGAATGATGATGTGGATATGGTAAATTCAGTTTTGATTGAGCACTTCCAAGGAAATAAAGTGGTTTATAAGAGTTTTGATGCAATGCTCAATGATACTTGCAATATCTATCCATCAGAGTTTATAAATAAGCTTTGTCCAGGAGGAATGAGTCCTTATGAGCTTGTTCATAAAAAGGATTGTCCTGTGATTTTGTTACGTAATATAATGCCTTCGAATGGTCTCTGTAATGGGACAAGATTGATTTGCAAGATTTTTCGGCCCAACGTTATTATTTGTGAAATTTATGTTGGTCAATATAAAGGAAAAACTATTTTTTTGCATCGAGCAACTTTACGCCCTCCAACAAATAGTAGATATCCATTCACTTTTGAAAGGAAACAGTTTCCAATTAAATTATGTTTTGCTATGACGATTAATAAGTCACAAGGACAAACACTGAATTAGGTTTCAGTCTATCTTCCTCGGCCGTGTTTTTCACATGGTCAACTATATGTGGCTTTATCTCGGGCAACAAAGGCAAAGAATGTTGTTGTTTATACAATGAAACCGCCTGATGGGTATCACATAAACTCGGTTAGAAATGTAGTGTCCTATGATATTTTGAAGTATTCAAAAGTTGTTTAACATCAAACATGTTTGTTGCTGTATAATGAAATTATTACAATTATTGTGATCTTTTTTTTTAAAAAAAAAAAATACTATAGTAATTATAACAAGCGTTTATGCATTATAAAAAACAATATAATTACAAATATTGTTATAAAGTTGCATTTCTTTTCAGAATGGTTAAAAAGTTATGTTCCATTTAAAGCATTCGTTAATATAATTATTTTGCAGAGTATACTTTTCAATAATTTCGTATTGATTTAGCAAAATTAATATTGTAGATATTATATATTGTGATTTAGGAATTATGTAAATTTATCACAAATGAATTTGTAAAAAGATATTTATCCTCTGTATATATTTAACTTCTTATTTATTAGTTAGTGATCAAAACATTATTTGTGTAATTAACAAATATTACAAATGATTGCAAGTTTAAATTGGTGAAATGTGGATATTGTAAATGATTATAACCGACAATAGAGAGTATAATAAATAGGTTGGGATGTTTTGTCGATAGTTGAATTTTGATGAATGTGTTTACTAATAGTTTAGTTGGGAATTTTAATGGTTATGTTAATTATTAAACTTTCAGATTTAAAAGCCTTTTGTTACAAATTCTCGCTGTCATTCGGTGATGAACATGGTTCTTGTTATATAATGATATTATTACAATTGTTGTTATATTTTTTAACGTAAATGCCGTCAAAATTAAAACAAGAGTTTATATACATTGTGAAAAATACTAAATTAAACCTTTTAATAAAGTTGTATCTTATTACAAAAGTTTATTACTGTTTTCACTTTGAAGGGTATATATACTAATAGTAATTTTGTATTTGTTTAGCAGAATCTATAGTGTAGATATTATATGTTATTATTTTAAAATTTAACAAATTGAACATAAATGGATCTGGGGAAAGATATTTGTACTCGGATAGATATTTTAATTTGTATGAATTATTTTTAAAAATTGTTTATTAATCAAAATATTATTTGTGTAATTAACAAGTATTGTATTATAAATGATTGCATTTTGAAATTGGTGAAATTTGGATGAATTAAATGCTTATTATAACTACCATTAGTGAGTGTAATTAAAAAGTTGCGACGTTTTGTCGGTAGTTAGATTTTAAGGAATTTAGTTTAATAATAGTTTAACGGGAAATGTGACGATACAGTTAACTATTAAACTTCTCTAGATTTAAATTTAAAAGTCTGTAGTTATATACTATCTCCGTCATTCACTAATCAATTTTCTGCAAACCAAACCCTAAGAAATATCGAATTTCTTTTGCAACAGTTAATTTCCATCCCAAATATCTATTAGTATCATTTGTACTTCAAAATCCGGCATGTCGACGTACAAGCCCGTCGATTTACGACTTAGGGACAGGTAATTATTTCTGATTTCATTCGGATTTATTTTCATTTTTTTAATTTCCATTGTCGTACGATTGTTCTTCATTACTATGGTTAGACGTTGGAATTTGGGTAAAGCGCATGTTGTTGGTGAAGGAGAAGAAGCTGAAAGGCCACAAGTTGTGTCGTCAGGTCCTCAGCGTAGACAGCCGCTTGGACGGATGCCACCTCTTAGTCACGCTACTACTCTTTCTGATATGGAAGAAAGAGAACCTACAGCCAATGTTCCGATATCGGCTGTACCATTAGCTTCTGCTAGACCATTTTCATCTGTGACATTCAGGGAGTGGGAAGAGCCTACTTCGTCTGCCAGCGGTGCTGCTCATGGGCCTCGCTGTCTGCCAGAAGGTTCCGAAGAATGGTACAATCCACCTGAAAATTCGGGCCTTAGAACTACTGCTCCGTACAGATGGTGGGTTACACAGAATGCCCAATATCGTTTCGCTGAGCAGATTGAAATTTTTTATGGTATTTATGAACAGGACGGATACTGGTGTCGAATGCCAGTTATAAAGGATAGAATCCACAGACCGCCGCCTAGGTATATTGGAGTATATACTAGGCAGTTATAATCAGGGCTGAGGTTTCCTCTTCATCCCTTTGTAACTAAAGTGTTAAATGGGTATAACATTGCGTTGTGCCAGTTGACTCCGGCCAGTATTCGAAGAGTTATGACGTTCTTATGGGTTTCCCTTTTTTTAGGGTTTGACCCCAGTGTTAACGTTTTTCGGCAATTGCATACTTTGGTACCGAATAGACAGTCTTCCGAACCAAATGGTCTTGGATGGTGGCGTATTGAAGCAAAACGGGGTTATTTGACCACTTGGCCTCACGATACTTCGGATAAAGATTGGAGGGGTCAATGGATTTGGATTAGGGCTCCATCCGAAGAGGAACATTTAAACTACTTCGGAGCGCCGATATACCTAAGGATGCCTGACCCGAAAATGTCTGCTATCGGTCCCGATGAATTTTCTGCCGAAGATAATCAACTGCTGAAGCTCTTCGGAAAGGTGGCTTCGGGAAGAGGGGGACGAGAGAAACATACTCCAGCCACTTGGCTACCTTGTTATCACTATATCTTCCAAGAGAGGATATTAGCTGCCGTCAGCCTCAGCTGAAAGTATCAAGAGGGTAAGATTCTCGGTTGGGGCCGAAGGCTCGTTACTTTTTTTTGTGTAACTGTTGATATTATTGTTGTTTGTTTTGTTTTTTTTGAACCGTTTTCATTTTTTGTTAATTTCAGTGTTGCATGAGACGAATTACGGGCTGAGTTATGAACGTCTTGGAATCAACGTCAAAAGAAAAGTGATCAAGAGAGACCCTGCGATTACTCCAACTTCCGAAAGAGCTCCCGCACTACGTGCAACTCATCTTGAGATAGTCAGTTCTTCTGAATATTCCAAGCAGAAGCCGTGGTACTTGAAACGTGATCCATTTTTTCTTTTGGGTCCCGAAGAGCAAATTCTAGCCACTACTGCTGCTATAGAAGCCGGTGTTTCTGAGTCTACTCCTGACACTGAGGACGAGGACAGTTCTAAGGACGAATTGTTGGATAATTTGGTGAGTATAGGTTTGATCTTTACTTTGTTTTGCTTAAATGTTTTTCAAAGTATGAAATGTTAATGCATATATTTTCTATAGTATGTAGTATACATTTCAATTTCCAGCTTCTTAACACATGTTGCATGTAACTTTGTTAATTGAATAGAATATTATTTAGAATACTGTTTCAAGTACATTTTATTTACTGAATGTTACGCTTCTGAAAAGTTCAATAAATACAAAATTTGGTTAGCCTTTTTGTTATGAATTGGTTGATTTGCGTAATTTTAATATATTTCCTATTTCAGTGTAAAATTCCAGTTACTGTGTTTAGTACTCTCTGTTTTACATATATTCCGGCTACAATATGCATTCCACACGAATTACTGCTAATTTATAAGAACTTCATTACTTATAGTGTTTCGCAACATATTATTTGTTAACTGTTAAATATATTCGTACTTCATCAACTATAAAATTTTTGTTGCTTTTCTCTTATGATTTGCTTGGTTTGCTTATGGAATTTCAATGCATATGTTCTGCAATTTTAGAGTATATTGTTAATTTTCTAAAATACGTGGTGCATGTTTCGTTTTAAAACTTAAAGACCTTTTTAAAATGTAATATGGTAAATGTATATTGTTATTATCTGCTCAACCTATGAGAATTGAATCAAGTATGAAATGTTGGTTTCCTTTCTCTTATTAATTATTTGATTTTGCATAATTTAAATAGTATTGTTATTTATGTGTTTGTGGTTTATTTCCAATAACTCAAATTGTGCTGATACTTATTTCTGCAGCCTCTTAATCTTCTGCTGCGAAAGAAGGAAACAAGAGTAGCAGCCCAACCGAAAAAGCCTTCATTGGATACCTCTTCATCAGATCAAGAAGTTAAATATATGGGTAGAAAAAGAAAGTCTAGGGTTGTTTTCAACCCATCCTAGTTCCCTTTAGAATATGTCACTCCGTCATCGAAAAGGACTAAGGTAGACGATGGTCCAGAAGAAATGTCTAAGGAGAGAGATCCTGAACCTTTAACCTCTGCGAAACAAATTGAAAACATTCAGCAGGAATCTCTTTCTGAAGTGCCTCATCTTTCTGAATTTTCGGCAAACCCTTTTGCTGAAGAAAGTCAAAGACATGCTGATGCCTTCGTTACACACATTGAGCATACTAATATGACAATTGAAGAAGAAAGGCCTTTACATTTCAAGGAAGCGGATGAACATGTTGATGAGCCTCGACAATAAGATGTGCCATCGGCTTCTGGTGCAGACTCATTCAGAACTTTCCGGTCAAATGAGATGGGGTTTGAGTCTACCCCACTTGTGATATTTCCCGATGTTGTGCGGGAAAATTTGATGGAAAACCAGAACGCCGCTGCTGAAATCTTTGGGGATTTATCTGGCTTCTCCGAAGTGGAGAAAGCTAAAATATGGTTAACACAAGCTGTTGCTGGAGCGTCTGAAACTCTTTTGAGAGTACCAGACCCCGTTGTAAAAAACTTTAAATTGTTGTTGCAGGTAATTTGTTTAGACAATTTTCGTTTGAATTGTTTTTCTGATTCTACCATTTCAACTATTCTATTTAGAGAATGTAATTTCTCTTCAATTATTTGTTTTAATTGTTTTTTATACTCTAAATGCCCAGGTTGTTCAAAACCATGTGATTACTGCCGGTTTAAATGAAGAGCTGAAGAAAAGTGCTGACACAACAGAGTATCGGGTTCGTATGGCAGAGATTGCGCAAAAGCGTGCTGAAGATGCTGCTTCAAACAGCAAATTTCAGATGGAAGATATTTCAGAAAAATTCCACACATTCTTACACGAAATGGAACATTCAATCTCTCCTTATGTTGAGCAAGGCGAG